GCTGGGCGCCTCGGGCGCCAGGCTCTAGGGCCTGCGGGCCCTTCTCCATGTTTTCCAGCGCCTGAAAGAGCCTACTGTGTGCCAAGGCCTTCTCTGCCCAGGCTTGGCTCCTGGGAGCAGGGTGCTGGAATTGGGTGGGTGGGGAGGGCGGGGACGTGCATGCAGGGAAGGTCGCCTGAGCTAGTGCAAAGGGCTTGAAGGCTGGCCAAGTGGGGTTGGGGACTTTCCTACTCCCTAGGCGGTGACCAACGATCGGGAGGAGGGAACCCCTGTTCATTAACTGACTAAGCCACTCGTTCATTAAAATATTTACTGAGCACGTCCTATGTGCCAGGCGCTAAGCGGGCCCGTAGATACAGACAGTGGACAGGGCTCCCCGTGGTGAAGACAGGAATGACAAGCAATTAAGATGGCTTAATACAGTGGCCAAAGCGCGGAGGAATATAAACCAAGAGGCAGCGTGGGGCTGCGTTGTTTGGGGTGCTGCGGGGGGGGGGGACCTGGGGACATGTAAGCGTCATCTAGTGAACACGAGTCGGGGATGCTCCTGCAGAGGGGGCGACAGGATTCCTCTTTCTCATCCACTCACCCCGCAGGCCTTGCAAGGCCCTCGGTGCTGCGCACGGGAGGGAAGGAGGCCTGGGAGCCCTGCCGCTGGGCTCCGCTTCCCAGAGGGAAAACCTGCGGCCTCGGAGGTCCCCTGTCCAGGGTGACCCCATTACGGAACAATTTCCCCCCTCACTCTAGTTTGCACGCGCTCGTCCCTGAAGACCTTGGGAAGTGTTATTACCTCCACTACACGGAGTGCGAGACCGAGAGACTGTCGGCAGGTAGGAGGTGCGGCCAGCCAGGGGCTGTGTGGATAAAGGGGCGGGGCAGGAGAGAGTCCCCTGCTTTGGCTTCTCTGGTGCCCTCTGCCTGTAGCACAGGACAGATCGCAGAGCTCTGCCTTTTCCAGGTCGGCTGAGAGCCTTCACGTCCGGAAGCCACGCCCAGACGCATCGCAGGTCTGAACAGAAGGGCGCCTCGGTGTTTGAGTTACTCATTTCTTGCATGACAAGTGCTCTCTCTCCGTTACTTAATTTTTAATCCCAAATTTCTGGCTGGAGAAGGGACACTAGCGGCCTGTATCTGCAGTCCTTGCAAGTGTGGGCTGCAGAGGTGGCCGCAGTCAGACAGCAACTCAGAAGAATTTCCCTGAGCTTGGCGGTGGGAGGTGTGGGTGGCTGCTGTCATGGGCCCTTTAAAGGTCACTTTTAGAGCACCCCAATAAGTGGCCATGCTGCGCAGGCCTCTGTTCTCACAACCCAGGCCCCTGACCTCCTCACGGGTGCAGGCCCGCTGGCCAGTGGGTGCCTGGCACTTGGATTGGAAAGGCCGGTGTTTAGACTCTGGATCCCTCTGAGTAAGTTGAGCCCTAGAGAGAGCTGTCTCTCCATGATGGTGACACAGGCGTCAAAGCCACATAGAGAAGAACTTGAACCAAACTGTTTCTCGAAGCTGGACAAAAGCCATGTTTCCAAGGTAGTATTTTATATCAAAGCCATTGAGTGTGGCTGTTTGGCTCAGGTCGTGAATTCCGCATGACAGGTCTGCTCTGGCCAGGCCTCCCCGGCTTCCAGTGGACATTATTCAGTTTGTTGTCCGCTTTCTCGGGGCCACTGGGACTGTCCTCCGCCTTTGGCTTGCCTCCTCTTGGGCACAGGCCTGGTGGTTGCTCACGTCACTTTGTCCCTCTCTAATCCCAGGTGCCACAGCTGTTTCCCTGCTCTGCTCCCCTTGCCAGGCAGGAAGTGCTGGGAACGGCTCACCCACCTGTGAGGTCCTGGGCCCACCCGGGCTGAACCCCCAGCATTCATTTGAACAGATGGTGGAGAGGTGCGTTGCTCTGAGCTGGGAGGAGACAAGAGAGAAGGGAGGAGAGAGAAGGAAGGAACAGAGAGAGAAGCAGGAAGGACGTGGACGAGGGTGACGGTGAGGGAGTGAGTGTGAGCGGATGGCAGCCTGCCCCCGCCCTGCACCCTGCCTGCGCCCTGCCTGTGCCCGGCCTGCGCTCTGGGGTGATCAAGAGCAATGCCCCAGTACAGTGACGCATGAGCAAACCATAGTCTTTAGGACAGAGGAGGGCCTGGTATTCTCCTAGAACTCACCATTCTAGAACTCACTCTGGCTCTGAGTTACACACCTGAGAAGGAAGACAGCTGCTCACAAAGGTGGGGCAGGTGGCGTGGGAGACAGGGGTGTCCCCGTCACAGGAGGCAAGCAAACAGAAGCTGTGGGTTTCCAAGTGGCTGCTGTGGGGCCTTCCTGCATGCACCTCCTGGGAACCCTCCTCCCAGTCCAATGATCCCCGGGGCCCAGGGTGCAGGAACCATGGAGTGGATTGTGGTTTAAGTTCAGAGTCCTGTGCGCCTCCTGGCCCTGAAGGGCTGCAGAGGATCCCGCCCCCATGTCTTTGCACGCCAAACTGCTCTCCTAGGACATGGACCCTCCCTTACTGTGGCCCCCAGCCACCCAGCTCCTGAGCAAGTGGCCCAGTGGCTTAATGCTGTCTACACATGCCATGGGCCTGCCACCCAGGCCACGCCACCCCAGGTAGAAAGGGGTCTTTGGAGGAAGCCCCGGTGTGCCTGCTCACCAAGCATTGGGTATGTCACCTGAATCTGTCTCCCCGGGTATTTCAGTCATGTTACATCAAAGGACACAGCTTTCCCCTTTCCCATCTTCCATCAGGACCCATCCCAGGGTGGTGGGGTCCCTCATCTCAGGCAGGATTTGAACTCCAGGCCTGGTTTTCTGAGCAGCATTTCTGATGGGACAAGACAGGCTTTCCAGGGGTCATTGCACTGGGGTTGGGCAGGAATGGGCCATTGGGTGGGGTCGAAGAACCAGTCCCGCAGCAGTGAAGGGTTCCCTGGGGGCCAGGGTGGGGCACAGGCATCCTCAGGCCTGGGCAGTGGCCTGCAGTCCCACCGCTCCTGGGCTTGATTTCCACGTGGTGCTCCCTGTCCCCAATTCAGCCCTGCATAGACTATGCCCCTCCATTGGCACCTGTGCCAGAGGGGGTCACTAGGGCGCCCGGGAGGGGCTGCTGCTTTGGATTGTGTGGGGAGCCTCCCGGGCGATGGGCAAAGGAGGGTCTGTCAGGCTCCCTGGCATGGTGCCTCAGGGCGGGTCCCACAGGCCCTGAGGCTGCAGGAGCGTCCAGCAGGTGCACCCCATAAAATGCGTGCTCGCTGAGCTGGGGGCGCTGCAGAGACCTGGGTGAAATGGTCCCTTCCCCTAGTCTCCTCCAGGACTCTGGCCCTGACCTCCAGCTGAGGACAGCCTGGGAGGGGGCTGCTTTCCACAGAACCTGCCTGTAAACCTTGGTTTCCAAACCCACTGGGTCTTCCCTGGGCAAAGGCGTTCTTTTTCATGGGCTGGTCACGAGGGGCCAGACTCATTCAGAGCTCCTCAGCTGCAGAAGGAAGAGCCCCTCTGGCTCAGAGGAAGGAGCCCACAGAGGAGGCTGAGCCTCCCAGGAGCCAGCATTGTCCTGTCCACCTGGGCAAGAGCAGTGCCCCCAGAATGCCTGTTGGTCCCTGCTGGGAAGCTGGCTGAGCATCCTGGCCAGGCCATGGAGCCATTCTGTGCTCGGGATCTGTATCTGTGGGGACCAGTGGAGAGGCTGAGAGTCCCTAAGGGAACTAGCTGCCTGTCCATGCTGGCACCTGGTGCTCGTGCTGGACAGCCACATGGTCACCCTCAGGCCTCGAGATCCCAGGAATGCAGGGTCACAGGAGGAAGTCCTGCTTAGTAGCATCTGGTGAGAAAGGCTGAACGCAGAGCGCGACACTCAGTGATGTCAAGCTTGAAAACCAGAATAAGCCCGCACCAGACACTCAGAAGACATGGCGGGGTTGATGAGGTGACAGGGTCACAGTGACCTTCCTCATCTCTCCCCACCTGTTGGCAGTTGGTAAAGGTCATGTGATGAGCGTAGGTGTGGCTTTTCTGGTGGGGACATCTCCACACACTGCTCCTGAAGACACAATCTCCCACGGCCAGGTGCGCGCCTACCTGGTCATGGCCAGGTTGGGTGGTCCCTGAGCTGGGCACCGAGGGGTGAGCCTGAACTGCAGTGCCCACTGCATTACCACGTCCCAGGCCTGCACCCTGGGCCAGCCGGAGTGGGCAGGGGAGTGGGCACCCGGGGAGGGGCCCGACAGAGGAGTAGCTTGAGCTCCTTAGAGACCAGGGGAGCAGGACCACCAAGGAAGACACCTGGACAGCACTCTGGGAGACCACCTGTAGGAGCTTGCTGCATCCAAATGTCACCCCAAATCTCACTCAATAGTTTTTAAAAAGTTGGCTCACTCGAAAAATACTCAGAAAACTATAAAGCATTCTAGAAAAGGAACCCAAGAAGGATAGAACCCTAATAAAAACCCTCACAGGTGTGTGTGTGTGTGTGTGTGTGTGTGTGTGTGTGTGTGTGTAACTTGGAAAACAGCGTTAAGTTTTTCAAAAACTGGGTGTGGTAACACAAGGAGGCAGAAGGACCAGTGTTGGAAGAAGAAGAATGAAGTGGAGAACTTGCTGTCCTCGTGTCGACACCTGTTACAACGCCATG